CCCAGTGGTCTTTTAAGACCAGAGACCCAGAGCCAGAGGAAGAAACATGAAGGCATTGGCTACATCTACTATGTACGAGACAATGAAGACAACTCTAAGTTGAACTCCCTGCCAGGTCTTAGTAAGGGAGATTTCAAGTAAAGAACAGATTCCAATTCTGCATGTTAATAGCACTAATGATGCTGGCAGCTTCTGTCTAAGCAAGCCAATGTCCCAAGCAATTCAAATGCCTCTTGGTTGTGACCTTCACAGACAAACCATTTATGCAGGGCGCCACTGTAACAATTCTGCAAATGAGGAAACTGAGGCCAAGCTGAGAACTAAACCCAGCTGACGTCAGACTCCACATCTGGGCTCAGAATCCCAGTTTAATCACTGGGACTGGGTCGGCTACCTTTGGGGAAAAAGAATAGGGAGCCGCACATGCAGAAGAAAAGGAGCAGCTTGGGAAGCAAAATTACTGGAAGAGGCCACAACTGGTTTGAGTTTTTCTGGATGATTAAGAATTAATCAGTTGGGTCCTGACTGGAATTTCAGGTGGAGGGAAGCTATAGGGAGTGACTCTTGGGCTGAGTTTAGGGGATTTAACTCTAAAGCAGTGAGCTGGGGGACCAGGCGGAAGCCCTCTCGGCAGGGGTTTGTGCTCTAGGCTGATGGGATTGTGACCTTCACAGAAGGTCTGTGCTTGCCCCTGTCCTGGAAATGTGTTTCCCCGTTGGTGGTCATTCTCTTTGACCCCTTGTCCTAGCAGGTATCTGATGACCCTCCTGCTCACAGTGAACTTCCCTGTGCACCTTTATGTCCTTCGCCTGAGAGCCTTCAAGAAAAGCACAATGTATAAAAACCCAACTGAGTAAAAGGCCAAATCCAAGATAGCCAATAGTGTTGCCATGGGTCTCATTTGCCAATTTCATCTCCGTTGCATTGCAGTGCTTCCTTTTAATGGTCTGATCAGGGCCACTCTCTCCGCTTCCCTGCTCTCTTGCTTATTCTATCCATCCATCCATCCATCCATCCATCCATCCACCCATCCATCCATCCATCCATCCATCCATCCATCCATCCATCCAACCATCCACTCACGCAGTCATTCAACAAATGTCTAGTGATTATCTGTTACGAGACAGACACTGGAGAATCTGAGGGCACAAAATAAATAAAATATAATCTTGCTCTCAAGAAACTCATTGTTTAAAGACAGAGAAATGCAGAGATTATTAACAGAAAGCAGGTGTGGCTGCAGCCAAAGGCAGGAACCTCACAGGGAGGCCCTGGGGGAGGGGACCTTCTGTGCCAGTCAATACGCTGCCCCAGCTTGGCTTCACTTGTACCTCTTTGGATTCTGCTTTGTGGTGCTCAGGCTGAGCAAAGCACATTTCTGCTTTGCCAAGTGTCTCCCGTTAGGATCTGCAAATGGTGGTCCCAAGGGAGTTGGCTGAGTTGGAGGAGGAAGAAAGGGACAGACCGGGATGCGTCTCCCAGCCAGGTGACCCTGACCTTCTCTGCCCTCTCAGTCTGCGTCTACATCACCCAGCTGGTACAGGGGGCCAGTTGACTGGATGCCAACACTGATTCCAGTTTTTGTTTTCTCCCAAACCCACAGGACAGGCCTCAATTTACCCTGGGGAGGGGGGCAGATGGCCAGTGCCCCCCCCCAGATAACAGCCCTGCCCCCTCCTGAGTCCACAGACCACGCACCCAATGAAACAGCCCCTTCAGGGGCCCAGACTCAGCTCCTGGGCGCTGCCTCTACATCTTTAAATTTTAATAATCCCAGCCTCTTTCCTTTGTTCCTGCAGCCTTAGGTGGGGCTCCCTCCCACCTGTGATATCTGAGGGTCTCTGCCTCTTTTAGTTCAATATCTAGTTAATAATTCTTTCTATTAAATTCTATCTGTTAAGATAACTGATGTGAATTCTGTCTCCTAACCAACCCTATGGAAACAGCTTCCAAAGGAACTCTGGCTCCTGAGGCCCATGGGGAAGGAATACTGCAAGCTCAGAGAACAGTTCAAGATGTCCCTTAAAAAGAGAGGGAGAGGCTACGTACAGCTGGGACTTCAGCTCAGGTCCAGAGAATTATATTTTGATTTGATCATGAAGACTTCAATACTAAGTACTTCTCAGTTTTATGTAAGGCACGGGGCGGGGGAGAGATGATAATATATATACAGCATAACTGAAGTTATGCCAGACAGTCCGCCTGAGCATCATCATGCCCAGTTACCCACCCTCGGTCCTGAGGGGGTTACTATCCCAGTGGCCCAGGTGGAAATGCCACAATAGGCAATCTTGTCTCCAAGAGAAAATCCTACCACAAGCTTGTGTGTGTGTGTGTGTGTGTGTGTGCACGCGCTCATGCATGTAATATCTGTATAACTTCAAGGACAGGACAACTTTGTGGTCTTTGGGGTGTAGACTTGAATCCCCTAACGAGACTTTAAAGATGATCCTATCCTAGAATGGGCAAAACGTGCAGGTTTTTACAAGAAAAGAGAGTGATCCTGTCATAAACTTCTCTACTTACGATACTTGTGATGTCAACCCCAAGGAACTAATATAGTTCTAATTTAAAGAGCAAAACAGACACAAATGGAAAGTAACAAGTGTTGATGAGAGGAGGTGGAGAAACTGGAAGCTTGTTTGTTGCCAGTGGGGAGGAGAATGCACAATGCAATGGAAACATTGGAGCAGTTTCTCACTTGTAACAGGGAGTTATCACAGGACCCGGCTATTGCATTGCATAATTGACCATCAAAGGAACTGAAAATAGGTGCTCAAATGAACACAACACATGAGTGTCCATAGCTGTATTCTGTGAAATTGTCGTCAGTAGGTGAACCAATGAAGGGGACCTCGGCACACTATGGGGTATGATTTGGGCACAAAACTGAATGAGGTACTGATGATACACGCTACATAGAAGAAGCTTGGAAACCTTGAAGTCAGACACCAAAGGTCACAAGCCATTATGACTCCATGACATGAAATACCCAGAATAGGACCCTAGAGATAGAAGCTGAGAAGACGGGGAGTGGGAGAGAAAGTGCCTGATGGCTGCGCAGTTTCTTCTTGGGGTTTTGGATGGAGACAGGCATTAGCTGCATAAGTGTGGTTGTTCTATTGACTACTGATTGCCCTCTCTCTAGATGGTTCATTTTCCTTTATATAAGTATCACTTCCATCCTCAGGAGGAAAATACAAATACTGGTCTAGGTCTGGTAAAGCAGAGGGCAAGTGTCGGATGAGATCTTGACTTGAAGAAGATAGATTCGAGCAGACACTAACCCTGTGAGAAATGAAGGTCCTGGGCTAAAGCCAGCAGTAACTTAGAGCAGAAAGAGAAAAGTAAATTGATTGAAAAGAGCATGAAAGAGAGTCCCCAGGACAAGCTGCTTAGGTCAGTCCCTCAGGCCTAGGGCTCAGATCCACATGTGTGTGAAAATCATCTCTGCCACATCTGTGTGTGGGGCGGGGTGGGGCGGGGGGGGCGTATTAGGATGACTGACATGGAGATGACTTCCTGTAGATTCCAGAGTATCCTGGAAGTCAAGAAACACCATTGAACTTTGGTGCTGTGCCTCAAGAGTTCCTCTTGATCCAGTTCCTTAACGATGACCCACCCACCCCACCCATCATGTTTTCTGTCATCTGCGCCTGAAAGACCCTCCAGAAATGTGAACAATGAGTCAGGTTCCTGCCATGTTACTCGAAGGTGCCAAGTTGTCTGCCATTTGTTTTTCTGGAAGGTAAATAAAGCTGTAACTGATGCCGCTTCTACAGGGAGAAGGGAATGAACAAGGATGGCCTATTCCACTAATCACATTAGGTGCAGGAACTTTGCCAGTTCACATTCAGACGCGGGAGATCCAGACCATCCCACCCCCACAGAGCCGCCCAGCCCACTAGCGGTGAGGACACATGGCTCCTCATCTTTACACAGAGGCACCGAATCTCACTGCCTGTTTACCAGACACTGGGGGCGCAAGAGTGCTGGCCTCCGGCTGGACATGGGCTTGCCCCAGCGGCAAGGTCTGTCCAGAAGAGGGTACAGATGACTGGTAGGGATTCAAACGCATGAAAGAAAATCCACAAGAAAATCCAGAACAGAACCTAAGACACCAGGTGAAATGCAGAAAGAAGGGAATCAGTGAAGGGAATCGGGAGGAAGTGAGGGTTTTAGCTGGAGGAGTCCAGTGGTATCACCAAGGGTCAGAGTCAGGGGACCCGAGACCAAGACGGGCCGGTGGCCCAGCCGGCCCCGCACCTTTGCCCTGTGCAGTATTAACGAAACTGCGAAAACAAAGCAAAAATCCCAGCAGGAAGAGACAGACCCAAGTCACGTGGAACATGCTTTACAGAGGAGGCCGGGTAATGAAGTGGTCACTCCGGCTAAACTAGTAGCCACGTGCTTTGCAATTCATCAGCTGAAAATGCTTTAAACTCTGTGTTCCAATTAAAAAAATGGCATTTGCTGTTTTCTTAAAGGGGAGACAAACACAGAAAGAAAAATGTCCTGTCAGTCTCCCGCAGAGCCTGCCTTCTAGTCCCGTGTTTTTCAGTAAAGAAAGCAGGGAAATTGGATTTTGAGTGTTGAAGACACAGTTCAAAAGTCTCCAAACCTGGCGTGGCCACTTTTCTGGGGAAGAATAATGGGGTCGGATCACCCAGACTGCTCCAGAAGCCTCACTCTATTGAATTGAATCAACTTTAGACAACTGGATTTGAACTGTGACTTGCTTACGAACAGCAGTCGGCATGGGGGCAGAGGCAAAGGAGCTTCTCAGCTTCTCTCTCCCTTTCCCCTTAAAGCCTCTCAGCTGACAGCCCAGGCCACCAAGGCCTTCTTCCCAAGGAGAAGGCGTTAGAATAATGATAGAATCTGGGAATCTATTTCCGCACCCAGAGGGCTCTCGGACCCCCTTGCTGACCCACCCTCCTGACCCACCCTCTTAAAAGTGAAAAATAGAAATCAAATAAAAAGCAAATAAGAAGCACTACCTTGGAACTGGGTAATCAACTCTATCCCTGGGGGGCGTGGGCTGGAGGCCATCCCGGGCGGCCTGCAGGCTGGTAAACAGGAGAAATGGTTCTGGGGAAAAGAAGCACAGTCCTTAAGCCACATACAGAGCGTGTT